AAAGGAAATGGCAACGACCAAAAATCGAGTGAAAAGAAAGCTTTATAAACAGAACAAACCCAATAGAAAAGCAATGCTCATAAGCATAAGATTATCCTTAACAGAAACAGGTGTCCATCCGTCAGCACTGTCGTGTACCTCCTCTTGCTCAACACCCAACATACGGGGTTGTGAAGGTCCACAGATATCCACATCCAGGATTGCTACCTACAAAATTCGTGAAGTGTTTGCTGTTAAGTAACGAATCATGAGAGTTGATGTTGAAACGGTACCTACCTGCTTTGTCGGATCAGAAGCTAATGCTCTTGCAAGACTTGAAGTGACAGTACTTTTGCCAACTCCTCCTTTTCCGCTAAGAATCAATATCTGAAACCCTTCGAATTAGTGAGTATACGTATTGGAGATGGCCAACAATCTAATCTTCGTCCCACGTCTACTAGATTTGCGTCTATGGAAATCTTCATATAACACACTCATAGTCAATCAGGCTACGGTAAATCAAGGTTCAGCGGTTAACCTCGCACTTCGCTCTTCGGGACGCGATCCCCGACCGCACTCACCATCAGTGTTGTAATAGGAAGAGAGTATAAACTACATAAGGGCGACCACAGTGAAGAATACGAAACTACATGACTTCAGAACTCTTTAAAACTTTTTCACTTAGCGCACCACCCATGTAAAACACGCTTCTCTTGGTTAACCCTCCCATGACTTATACTGGTGCAACATCAAAGTCCTCCGTCTTCCAATTTAATTGCCCTGTTACATGTTAAAGCTTTGAATTCAAGGCCAGATGATAGAAAGAATTGCAGTCCTTAACCTTTTATAAAAAAAGAATTACAAAAAGGAGTGGTGAACTTTCCTGTAAGAAAACCACCATGGATAGTAACGGGACAATTACCCAAACAAAAAAGTACCTTGTGCTTGATGTGACGAAATCGGTCTTGAATGAGCCTGATATCATCGTCCGGTTTCGGTGGCTGACCAGTCGAACAAGATCCCTAAAATCCGCTTAGATTGAACATGTTTGACCTAAACCTTGAGCAGTGAAAAACATATGGGAACCTTAGCAATCCTCTTGAGCAATAGCAGCACAGTGGGAAGTGACCAAATTTTCTATAAGCGCTCAGGTTGTCAAACCCAGGCTTGACTTCGCCCGGAGAAAGTGAGCCTTCCACTCCAAAGGTCGCCATTTGGGTAACTCAAAAACACTGACTTTTGCACTTCCGTTCAGGTCTACCGTTCAACTAGAGATCCATCATGACCCCGAATAGTAAGCGAAAGCACGGCGCATCCCGGAATGGAGCGAACGTCGAATACATGACGTTCGATTTTTAGTTACCATTCCCTATTACAGAAGCCTTCACGAAACATTAAGAATCATTCTAAAAAGGGTGCTCGTTACCGGAAGGCCTCGATGTAATGCATACAGTGATCTCAATTCCCTGAGGGGAGAAATGCCGGGTTGAACGATCTAAACGCATTCGTAAAAAGGGATTGGAGAAAACTACTTCGCACAAGACTCTACAATGGAAAAATGATTGTAATGGTCTTAAATGCCTTAGACTTTCTTTACCAAGTCCTCCTGCCAAGCTTAACATAAGAGCTAAAGCAAGGTTCGAAGATCAAGAAAGAAGAGCGAAACTTATCATACCTGGTTCGGACAACCGGCACATCCATTTGCCTTCCCAGCACCTTCGCTTCCCACTCCTGGGCATCCAGCATTTGCATTCTGCTGGCACATCCTCGTGCCTAAATTTCTCTTCTTGAACTGCCAGTGAACTACACATATTAACTTCACCCGATTAGACGTAGGAGCCAAAGCACGCTCAAAAAGACCACGCTAATGCGGCCACAATGCCACCGAATGTGCCTGGGTCAGCTAGATTACTTACCCGATCAACTTCCATGATGACCATGCCGCAAACTTCCGTCGGCAGTGTCCTGAATCCGCAAGACCCTCTGGTGACGCGTACCTAATGCTCGTTAAAAAAAAGTGTGATGTCCGCACATTGCTGAAACACGTACAGTACACCATAATTTGCGTCTGTTCAGCAAACTGCTTCTTGTTTCGCTTCATTGGTAGAAACGTCAGCACTAAATTGTCAGGTAGTGATATTTTCGGGATATTCGTATTGATTATAAGGCGGCAGTGTGGTAAGCTGAGTTGGGGGGACATTGCGGCGGCGCGGTGCTCCTCTTAGGCTGGTGTCAGGGTCCGCGATCCGTCGCAGGTTTCGCTGATTTTCGCGATTTAGCGCGATTCACGCGATTTGCGCGATTTTCGCGATTCACGCGACGGGTCACGGAAATCACAAGTGCCCGATCAATACTGCAAGGTGTTCTCCAATCCTGCCGCCACTTCTGCTTGATAGTGATGGCTGAATGACGACTGCTCATGATTCCACTTGTTTCATATTCAGTGTTTCAAATGTTCACACACTTGCAATTTTTGCGATCCGTCGCAGGTTTCGCGCAAATCGTTCAAATCGCAAAAATCGCGCAAATCGAGTGAATCGCGAAAATCAGCGAATCTTGCCGACCCGCACGCGGATCGCGGACTCTGGCACCAGCCTTAGGTTGTTTATAGTCGGTCTCCTATCGCATGGGTCGTACAACATTAGATATGTATCGGTCTCCAAGCAAATCTGGAGATGGTTACGTGTTTGATATTGCGCGATCCCTAAGATCGCACAACCTACCATGGAAGCGCGATAGTACTATACGATCCCAGCTATTCCCCGCAAGGTACTTCAGTTTGAAATATCTTCCCGCGCGCGGAAATTTGAATGGACTATGTGCGCGCACTGACGTTGCGACGGCCTGGCCATCTCCAATCGGCCTTTGAGACACATTACTTTATTCTGCTGTGTTATTCCTAGTAGCTTCTGTTCCATTCTGTACCGGTACGTGTCCTATTTTGTGCCGTTGCTATTCTGCTATTACTTACAGCGAATCTGTGCTGTCTTGCCCATGGGAAAGGATAATACCGCAGGTAAGCGAGTGATAATACCAGTTCTCCTCTCGAGATTCACACTGGGTTGTGGTGCTTGCATCGACACAACCTGGTGAGTTTCAAGCAGGGAACGCAGACCGCCTTCTTGAGCCAACGATAACTCAGTAGACTAGAGAACGAATACCACTTTTAATTTCCACTAAGCTCCTAAATAGAATAACTTGTTCACTTTACCCTGTTATCGCAATCTTGTCTCACTGTTCCTGTTTTTCGTGCATGTTTGATGTGAATGTCCGAGAGTATGTCCACAGGCCATGTTCATGTATCCTATGTGGCGTAGGTAGAATGCACTCATTTCACCAGTTTTCTTTCGTGTTTTCCTAAGTGGTCGCGAAAAACTGCTACGCGATCCCTTTGGAAGATCTTGAAAGAGGCTATAAGGTGATTGAACTTAGCACGAGTGCAAAAACATTTGTGCTATTCCTCGACAACCCCCTGAAATGTGAGAAAAGTGTGCAACATGAGTGTTTCGTTTCCACCTTTTCTTCTCCACTCATACCTTTCGTCATTGTTTTGCCTGAGCGATTTCCCCAGCTGCTAGCTCACTATTCATGTGTCATCGGAAATGCCTTCTGATACTCTACTAAACCTCTGACTCGATCATTGGAGGCAATCCATATCGATCCCACAAACTCCCGCACACAATGTATGCGGCATAGCTGTTATATGAAAGAAAACCGGAGACACCAGATGCTTTCTCGCTTGCCAAAAGCTGGTTAGTCCTCTTGGAACTCACACAGGGTTGTGTCGATGCAAGCCCACAATCCAGTGTGAATCTCGAGAGGAGGACTGGTATTGAACTCGCTTACCTGCGGTATTATCCTTTCCCATGGGCAAGACAGCACAGATTCGCTGTAAGTAATAGCAGAATAGCAACGGCACAAAATAGGACACGTACCGGTACAGAATGGAACAGAAGCTACTAGGAATAACACAGCAGAATAAAGTAATGTGTCTCAAAGGCCGATTGGAGATGGCCAGGCCGTCGCAACGTCAGTGCGCGCACATAGTCCATTCAAATTTCCGCGCGCGGGAAGATATTTCAAACTGAAGTACCTTGCGGGGAATAGCTGGGATCGTACTAAAGCTGAGGGCCTAACAACGAAGGCTCAAAAGTGGTAGAATTGTGCGGAATCACAAATCACACTTTTTTGCCTCCGACAAACTACGGCAAAACTATTTTTTGCGTTTCAACGAACGAACAGGAATGAGCAGAGCGCCGCGCCGCCGGGTTTCAAGCCCGTTTCAGGGTTCTCTCAATCTCGGTACATCAAATGTTCTTGTGTTTATAGGCATCAGCTAGGACTTGCAAGCTCTCCAATCCCCACCTTCAAAACATGGTAAAGGGTATTTCTGTCAAGGATGCCGACCACAAGCATAAAGTAAAGCGTCTGAAGAAGAAAGTTAAAAAGGCTGACAAGGTAGAAGCGTCTACCACCCAGGATTCCTCAACGACTCCAGTTCAAACCGATGAAATAAGATGTGCGTGAGTTCTCACAAACGGTTTTTTAAACTTAGTGATTTTTCCGTTTATTCACCTGTTATTTTCTTGACTAAGCATGGTAGCAAGGTTTAAAGTTAGTATTCATAGTTTTCTTTGGTATGTCCTACATATTTGGCTCCTATTTGGCCTCTAAGGGTATTTGAAGACCATCATTTGTCCCATGCATTACCAGTTTCAGCCGTCGTAGAACCTCATTGGCCTCGGCAGTACTCTTTCCACGGGCTGTGACCGAGATAATTTCTGCCACTATAGTATTAAGTTTGAGAAAAGTTTTGAAGCGCCTTGTTCGCGGTCCCGCTGGTTTTTTGGCCAAATGGACCGAAATCTCCAATAGCTAAAAAAATGAAAGGAGTGGGCTGTGCTGCTCACGATGCTCCAGTCAACTTTTCCAGTAATGGCGTTCACATCGTATCAATCGCCATCTCCCGCGAGACCATTAGAACGCCCATCCTGCTCGAATCGGGATAGGAATTGTAAATGATATCAGGGGTAAACTTTCGTCAAGTTTTGAAGGGGGACTATCAGTTTTAGAGTTGGCTTAGGTTGAGAAGTTAAAGTTCTCCGTAATCCTTGCTCTGACGGTTCCTTTACTTGTTTTAACGGAAATTTCCAGGCTCATTATCGCTTTCTTCACCTCTTGCGTTAACTATTATATTTAGTTACTTTTTCTTCGAATACTTTTTCGCTCACTGCCTTACTCCTTTCATTGCCGCCACGCAGCCTTCATAGTGAATGCGCGAAATCACATGTTGTGCTAGTCATCGAAACATCTAAGCCACACATTTGTCGTTTTCTCAGATCTCCGCTATTCTGTGAGCGAGCGCTACCCTACTCCTCGGCAGCTGTTCCTGAAGTTTGACAAGTCCAATGAGTTCTCACTCATTGTTGGAAATGTACCGGCTTACTTGCCCAAGGTGGGTGTGGCTTACTTTCCTTCGTGTTTGTCTTTCTTTTTTCCCTCTCAAGTTCCGCCTTTCTCCAACGCTGCTTTTTTCCTCTTGAACTTACAGTTTTCAGGGCTTTGTTGAAGGCTTTCTGAAGCAATTTGTGCAAGTGCCTATTACTGAAGTCATAGAACAAAGAAGCAATGCATTGGATGGATCTCTCAATCATGTATGTTTTGAAATCTTTTGATAGATGGACATCGCTTGTTAGTTTGTTCAATATTATTCCAGGGCCAACTTACTTTATCGGTGCGTTTTGAAGATCCAAAAGGCGTTAGTCTCGCGCTTTCACAATGTCAAGAAGCAGGACCATTTCGAGTGTGTGACTTTGTCGACCCCGAAGTGCCATCGGTTCTTCCAAAGTAAGCGCTTTTGATCTTCACACGATCCCGATCTCATACTGAAATTGGGTCAGTCATTCAGATTCTGTTGCACTTCTATCGCAAACTTTTCCCTTCTGCGGAGGAAATACAAAAATCAGCCATGGATTTCATCCAGAAGCAAGATGAGGAAATGCAGGAGGTTATCCATTTGTATTCCAAAGACATTTACCAGGTTGTTGTATTTTGGCTTATATCTGAGTATTGCGCTATATTTTAAGGCTAAGAAAGCTGCGAAACGGAAGCTAACAGAACCAGACGAGGAGGGCTGGATTACCGTGACGAAAGCCGCAAAACGGGTTTGTACTTTACCTTTTTTATACCTCATATGAAGTGTAGAAGTTCGATTACTTTCTAAAGCAGTTTCTGATAATCACATAATGTTCGACTACGGCATTGCTCGGAACTCTTTGTCAAGCAATTCAAAGTTCAATCTTAGCCCTAGTATTGTTCAAATTGCTTTTGTTTTTCCGCTTCCTTATCATTTTCCGGGGATTTTATTTCAACCACACATCGCAAAGGTGACTGTGCTCACAGATTTGTTTCTCAATCTTCTCCCCACAATGAGTAATTTTCCAGTCTTCCTGCGTTCGCTTTTGCCTCACTCCCCTTTTTACGAGCAGTTCGAGTTGCTTTCTTTAGCTCTATGCTTGCCTCTTAACTTGTTTGCGTTTACCTCCACAAACTTCTCTTTCCTGTCCTCTAATTCCTGCTCTTTTCACTTTCTTCCAAAAACCTTTTTTTTCTTTTTTTCGTTCCTATCGGCATAGCTTAACAAGTAAGTGGTTGAAAGGTGCTCGTGAGTTCAGTTGTTTTTGTCTATGAGTTGAACCCCTAAAAGCAGATTATTTTTAGGTGGGGAAAGTTATGAAGTTGAGAAGACGAAGTACGTTATGGGCGGACTGAAAAGAAAAGAAGAACCATGTTAGTTCATTGCCGTAATAAGTATTCTACCTTATTAACGTAGTGCATTGCTGCCCTTATTTAGGTCGATATCGCATTTTACTCGTTCGACAAGAAGAACACCAAACGAAAAGAGTGTTTGTTCACAATTCGTACACTGTGAGAAAATGTTGTTTTTCGAGAAAGCACGCTGTCTGCTGTTTTCAATGAATATGATCGCTGCATGAGAAAATGTGAAAATATTAGTCGCGCCGACAGGGCACGTTATTAGTGGAAGTCGGTTGGGTCTGACCACACCCCCAGCGCTTTCAGATCTGTTCCTAAGCGAAATAAAACTTGTCCTGTTGTTGTTCAAAATGTGCGGCTGGCTGAAATCAGAGAAGCGGGAGGTGTTCCTCAACGGAAACCCGTCGGGCCACAAACGTTAGAAATTTTGTCATTACATGAGAACTGGTTCTGGTCTCAAAAGCCGCTTTGGTCCAGTCCAGAATATAAGCTCTTTCGGTTTCTGATACAAGGATAATGGGTGTTGATGTTGACGAAAAAATGTATTTTTCTAGAACTCAATGAGCTGAGAGAAAAGTTCAATCAGGATAAGAAAAGGATAGCGCTGCTGAAAAATGCAAGGAAATTCAATCCAGACTGATGTTATTTCTGAAAGTTTTCAGTCATATTACAGACCGTTGTTATGTTGTTGAATATTGATTGTTGTTTTTGATTGCTTGTTGTACAAATGAATATTCTATAAGAATTTTCGTTCAGTTAGGCTCTAGACAGATTTTTTTTCATTGCATAATCATTTTTCAAGCAGCATAGACTGAACATTTTTGCCAGGTTTGCTCCACACTGGGCTCCTATCGTTGTCACCTACCTTTCCAAACTTTTAACCAAGTCATCTTAAACGCGGAACTGGGTGTTGAAGAAGGAGATATGCCTACTCTAAAGGCACGACAAATTGCATGCGGAAAGCGGGGGGGGGGATGTTCATTCCAAAGGGATGCCGGGCATCCATGGTATTACGTGGCGCTTTCGGGAGGAAAGGCAGCCTGCAAGGCCTTGCCCATCCTTCGACGCGTCGTTTCTCTTCCTGCCCTTCTATCGACAACCCCAGCGGGTGAACACTCGCCATCGGATCGTAGCTGTTTTAGCATTGAGGTAGATCAGAGCGGTGACACCGATGATGTCGGTACCGACACGCCCAACGAGGAAATCAACGGGGAGGACACAGGAGCGACACCGATCCACACTTTCCAAAAAGTACCATCTCGTGCATCACCAAGTGGTGAGCGTGGCCGCATGAAAGGATCCGCGTGGGTTACCGTGTGGTGCACACGGTTTACTGTGTTAACTAGGACAGACGAGCACAGTACGTTCTGCGCGACTTACGGAGGGGGTTTGGACGCATCCAGCCAGGGTCAAGCGTCTGACTGGACAATATAAGCACGGGAAGACCGAGTAGTATTTCTGTAGCCGGCAAGAGCTGTCACAGCACAGGCTCCCCTTACTGGATGAGACCCGTGATCTACACGCTTCTGGCTTTCTGAAACAGAGCGTAGTTTGTCTCGTGCTCAATGCCGGAAATGTCGATAAATGCAACGGATTCCAAGTCTTCGTCAGAAAACGCGCTCCGTGGGTAATTCCAAGTTACGGTAGCGCGATCTTTCTAATTTGAATTGGCGCACATGTGTTACTTGTTGAATGTGTCGTGGGAGGTCTTGTTTATGATTCTACTTTGCTAGAAGTTTTTTCCAAGTCCCCTCTAAAAGTGTAATGCAAAGTCGTTCAGCGATAGAGGCGCTTCGTGAGAACTCTTAACGGAATGAGATTGTTGTCATGGTAGGAGGGTTTGTTCAGAATATCAACGGGATCTAGGTGTTGAGAATAAAATTGGTAATGACCCGAATAAGATGAGCCTTTACTTTGAAAACCTGTGCAGCTAGACATGGGTGTTCATATTGCGTGACGTTTTGTCTATGGGTGTTTATTCAGCGTTAGATATTGATTTGCAAGGAAATGTGGAACAACAAGTCCGAGCTAGAGACTTCACATTTCCTCGATCTTGGGCATGTTTAAGCAATTTCTATAGATCTTGGTAGGTGTGCGGTCTAATTCGCTAGGTTTGTTTATATTTAGGATTTTGTCTTCCCAATGTATCACTCAGAGGAGTGGGAGTATTAATAACAGTGTGACACTCCACAAGTGTCGCTTCAAATGGCTTAATAGATTGATTGTTTTGTGCCTTTTGCAGGAAAACTTTTGAAGCCCTGCAATATATATTGAAACTCTGTCTATCAAACTCTCACATGCTTATCAGCGATGAAGTTTTAGTACAAATATAACTCTTTAACCAACACATTTATTCATTCAGTTTGTCGCGCAAAGCTCATTTTTCTCCATTTAAACTTGTCGATCTTCTTACCATAAACTATCAGCGTTAAGTATATTGTATTGAACGGTTATTATCCGCCGTTTTTCCTCCGCTCATGGCTCTTTTTTTTTTTTGCATTTTTTTGCGTTTTCGAAGATTATGATGTAGTCACACCAATATGGAGCTTTCTTGGGAGCAAAAAGACTGCTCTTGCTACATGAGTGCAAGTTGAGCTCTAAATCAAATGCTGCTGTATTTCTCGCGTAGGCTGGTGTCAGAGTCCGCGATCCATCGCAGGTTTCGCTGATTTTCGCGACTTGCGCGAAACCTGCGACGGATCGCAAAAATCGCAAATGTCCCATTTGAAACACTGAATATGAAAGAAGTGGAATCATGAGCAGTTGTCGGAGAACAGAACATTGGAGAACACCTTGTAGTATTGATCGGGCACTTGCGATTTCCGTGACCCGTCGCGTGAATCGCGCAAATCAGCGAAACTTGCGACGGATCGCGGACTCTGACATCAGCCTAGAATCAATGGGGCCTGGGGTGAGGGCACGGTTGCAGGAAAGATTGTTCGAGAACATTTATAAATAATCATCTGTTTTTTTGTTTCATTTTGTTAACAAACTTATGTATGAAATGAAAACGGCGGATAATTTCCGCTCAACCTAATAATGGAGTTTTCATTGTTAGCTCTAGCGATGAGTCACTTTGGCTTCGAATTTTATTTTTTCCAGGAAATATGCATGCTCCAATATAGAGGACAATCCACTAGTTAGTGTTATTTTCAGTGTAATTGCCGTGAACAAATAGTTTGCACTTTTGTCTTCGGGTTGAACTTATGGCAGTGTAATTCACAACAGTGCCATGTTAGTGAGCGATACATAATTTTGTCTAAGTGCTTCGATTTGAAGTCAAATAGCTTTGGTTTTTCAACCGAAGTTGTGCGGATCTCGGAAATTAGTCATCCCCGAGTGCGTGCGTGTGGGAGATCCACAGTAGTCGTTGAAATGCTCATTGATCGCCCGATTCACATTATCTCATGCAATGTTAGATGTGGTTGTAGTAATGCTGAAACTAATGGTTTTTCTCAATTTATCTTGTCGATTCACCAGTTTGTACCGCCTGTTCTTACATTACTTATTTTATTTCTTATTTGTTTAAATTTATTTTCAGAAAATTCAAGTTTCTTTAATAAACCGCTGCAAAAATCACATCATCTCGGTTATTGTTCGCTGCTGCGATGTCGACCTCCCTTTCTGAGGGCTACGAACAAACTCAACGAGGCGGCACAAAAGCATGGGAGGAGACTTTCATGGTAATACAATCATTACTGGATGCTGTTTTTCTTTTAGCTCTCTTATTAAAAAACCTTATGAGAGAAGTTATCTCTTTGTAGAAAATGCATGTTGATTCCTACAAGGAGGTAGAAGGCCGAGGCTTGACTACCAAAATCGCCAAAAATCTGCTAAATATGGAACGGAATCGCTACGTGGATGTACTACCATGTGAGTTGTTTTGGCGAGCTCCACGTTTGCTGGATATCTATTTGAATATATTAACTGCCTTCATTTCTTCCTTTTTTAATCATTGAAATGTCTCCTGACCCTCAAAAGATGAGTTTTGAGTCGATCAATGCCGCGTTGTGCTTGGTTCAAGTACCGACGAAGATGACTCTTACATCAATGCTTCTCCTGTTTCAATAAAGCAAGCACACAGAAACTACATTCTTGCTCAGGTATGCTCGGCTGGGAACGTTTCATAAGTGATCTTTCTACTTTCTGTTCCAGGGGCCTCTTGAAAATACCTGCAATGATTTTTGGCAAATGGTTTGGGAACAGAACGTGCCAGCAGTTATAATGCTGAATAAGGTTATGGAGAGCGGTCGTCACAAGTGAGTTGTTTCATCCTCTTTTGGATTTCGTTCGGTTATCAACTGGCTTTAGGTGCGCTGTTTATTTCCCATCAAAGAATGAACGTGAGGTGGAATTCGACGACTTTACTGCAGAATTGGAAAGCGAAGAGCAGCATCACAATTTTGTTGTGCGATGGATTTATCTGAAAAGGAACGACGAAGGGGATGGTTCGTTCATTTTCTCCATTTGACTTACTTCTGATCATATCCAGCTGGGAGTTTCCTTTTTTCAAATTAACCATACCCTTATTTAGCTTCCCGACGTAAGATTTTGCACGTGCAGTATACAGAATGGCCAGATTTTGGAGTGCCTGCTTCAACGAAATGCTTTCTTAATATGCTTGCTTTCATAAAAGGTAAAACCCATACTTGAATGTCTCTGTGTGGGATGCAAAATCATAGTGCCATTGCTCTATTATCCGAAATCATATGGTGTTCTAGAACAGAACGTGCTGAGTGTTAAAGACGACGATCCTCCGTGCGTCGTGCATTGTTCTGCGGGTATTGGTCGATCGGGGTCATTCATCATTGTTGATGGAGTATTACGAATGGTTTGTTAACTTCGATGCGTATTTTTGACTGACCACGACATTACGATAGTCATGATGTTCATTTCAAAACTAGTCTCAAATCTGTATTTTTTATCGCGATTTTGTCTTTTCTTTACACCTACTGAACGCAATTAATTTTCTTAACACGTTGACGACCGTGTGGTATGATGTCATACCACACTTTCGCATGGGGCAGACTAGTTTTCCTTAATTTATTTGGTGTTTTCTCCTGTTCCACAACGGTCCATGTACATTATTGAATCCGAAAAACTATTTCTTAATTACTGATAATGAACGCTAAAAGGCATTAAAAAAAATCGATTGATGTTCATTGATGAAGAGAATGCGAAAATGTCGAAGCAGTGACGCGCGACAACGGCGGATTCGTCACGTGGTTGAAACTGAACGGTCAACAACATGGTTGGGTCATACTGCCTTACTCTTTGGGTTTGGGGGGTCGTGCAATTGCTCAAGGCATCATACATGCCACCTCCCCATATATCAGGCCCCTTGCATCCATTAGTACCATGCTTCGATGCTCTCTTGAAAATTGAAAGTTGTAACCAAAATTGGTGGGGAGTTGTGGCGCCATATGGCGCAACCGTCAAACATGAGTGCCGTAGTTGTGGTCAGAGCTTCGGATATTCATGCAGAAGTTGCGGGATGATGAAATGGAGATTTTGCTTCCAGCTCTGAAAATGTGGGGCAGTCCTTAGTGGAGTACTACGTGTTGTATGCTTATGAGCGATGAAGGGGAGCTCCCTTTCGTTGAATGTCGAGCAATCCTTCCTGGAGTGAACAGTGGGAGGCCAAATTTGCTTCTGGTGACTGAGAAGGCACACGTTTTGAATCGCAAGTACTCTCCTCGGTCACAGAGTGTGTTGTTGAGTTTTGTTTCCACTGGCTCGGTTTCTTGTCGAGAGCCGACGTAGATTTATGTATCGCCACTGGTGATCACAAGTGTGCTTCATAGGATCTATTTTCCTTGTAAACCATCAACCACCGCTAGTTTGCGCGCTGAGCTCCTCTTCGATCCGCGTACCAACATGTCAAAGTTCTAACATATCAAATCCCAGTTTCTTGAAAATCTAGCTTAGCTTTCTGACCATCTTCATTCATTCTTGGCGCTATCGTCATCTGGCGTCAATCTGGAACACCAAGTGCATCATTTTTCGTCTTGGGGAATCGAACTAGAAACAAATGTTTCACTCCTTTTTTCATTATCAGAGCGTCGTCCAACAAAAGGGACCCATCCCTGCGTTCTGTGCGTATGCCCCTGCAAAATATTTTGAAAAGAGGAGGACGGTCTCATTCCTGAAATACCTTTGTGTTTAGGCAATGGGAGTGATACAGACGTTCACATTAACAAAGTTTCCATCTAGTTATGACATTCCATAAAAATTCGGACAGATCCGAAGGTTTTTTTTTGAGCTTTGACGTTTATTAGAGCTTCTGTAATGCGGAATTCTCATTGCTGGGAGCAATAACAACAGAGTTATTATTGAATCCATGTCTTTCACCCACTTTAACATCTTTCAAAATCGCAAGTCTTAAATAGAATGAGTGCTCAAGTTATCTTCTTTCTGAAAACCAGGTGGATCTCTGAAGATTCGACAATGTCCCCGATAAGCAGCTTTTGGACATGCGAATTTTCAGTTCTTCTAAGGACATAACTTTTCGGAAATCCTGCATTTTTTAAGCAGATTTACAATAATATAGGTATCTGTTTGCAAAACGTTCAAAGCTATCGTAAAAGATCATCAACGTAAATTTTTAAGTCTTGCGGTGTTGATCCTTGCTATTGTTGATCTCCATTGCACTTGAATTGGATACAGAAGAAAAGGAATGCCTTCAAAACGTCTCTTGGCGACGCTCAGTCAAGTTCAATTTGTCATGCGCCTGTGACTTCGACTGGATAACGATCTCACATGAATTAGAAATCGTACAGATATTTGGAAACTTATAGCTTTTCACAGTGAATTGTGGAGATCGGTAAGACAAGGGATCCCTCCCTTTCCCAAAATGCAATCACTTTTTTGAAAACTATCCAAACCGACATTGTTTGCGACGTTGGTAAACTTTATACTATTCTTCATCCATAAACAAATGAATAAATAAGCAAATAAACACTATCCACTAAACGAGTTAAATCCTATCCATGAAAGAAGAAAACATTCTATTTCAGAATCCGATTAAAGCTTATTCGCGCCTTTTGTTTCCCTTTATTTCAAAGAGAACATCAGCGAAAACCTTTTCTTTCTAAAGCCTTAAATGTTTCCTTATAAACTAATTCAAAAAACATTTTAGCTCGAGTTGGGCATGGCTGAATCTGATATATCTCTGAACAAACTACTTGTAGATCTCAGATGGTTCGTCTTGCAGTTCTGTTGTTCTCGCCTTCGTAACCGGTGTATTTACTTCATCTCATTTTAGTCAGCGTTTTGGGCTAATTCAAACACCGCAACAGCTCATGTTCAGCTGGCACGCAATAGTGGACGCTATTGAGCAGAAGACCGATTCTCCGGTAGAAAGAATTCAATTCGTTCTTCATTTCCAACATGAAGAATATGCTGCATTCAGGTGTCTACTTCTGAGTCCACATTGAATGGAACAGATTCGGAGTCAATCTCGCTCATAGAAAGAAAGAACAAACGGAAAACCGAAGAAAAGGTTGACAACACATTGGACGATCGCCTGGCTAAACGGTGGGTCACGACGACGGTTTTAATAGCTGCGTTCATTCGCTTGATCATAATGCATGTGACAGGTTTATTAAGAGCGAATGGTTTCAGAAGACCAAATGCAAATCATTGATTGTGTTTAGCTTGAGGTATACATTTTGTTGTGTGATCCCACTGTACAAAATCCCATGAATGAGCCTGTGTTCGTTTTCAGTCTTGTTTTTCAAATGGGACCTCGAAATTGAACCTGTCTGGGTCTCAAGGCTCTCTCTCACTCCTTTTTAGAGTTTTTAGAGTTTAATAGTGCAGGATGATTCTAACTGGTTTGTTGGGAACACATAGGAGATGGTGAGGCACGGGTACCCTGAGTAGTAGGCTGTCTTGCTAACTGGTGTTCCTTAGTCATATAGAATGGCAAGAGGGTAAGAAGTTCATTACACCAGTATGAACAACCAGAAAGACAAAGGATTATAGCCTGGAAAATGGCAAAACGGTACGAGTAGCGTCACTAGCAGTAGAGTTAGTTTTGATACTGTTATAATGCTCACCTCCTGGTGCGACCATAACACCTCATGTAGTAGGTACCAGTGTATTGAGCGGTTATTATTTGTGGTGAGATGATATCACAATCACTCATTCGGTTGATAACGCAGAATCAAATTGTTTTCCAGCTCTAAGGGGCGTTCATAGTTCGCGACTCCGGAGATTAGGATAGTATGCGACAACGAAAAACATATGTATTGACGGCGAGATTAGGATAGTAGTAGATTAGGATAGTATATAGTAGAGTAGGAGATTGCGCTGACATACGTGTTGATCTATTCGCTTGAAGTCGCCCAATCTACTACTCTCCAGCGATTTCAATCGATACGTATCCAATCTTGTCAGCGCAATCTCCTACTCTACTACTATCCTAATATCCTGTCGCCTACTATCCTAATCTCCCGAGTCGCGAACTATGAACGCGGCCTAACAGAGGTCATTTTTCCCAACATTTCCTTATCATAAACCCAGGTGTTTTGTGGACAGACAGACCCACATGTTTCAAGTCGTCACCCGGTGTTATGGGAGAATCGAAGAATCCGCGACAAATTGTACTCGTGTCGATTGTCACGTTGGTGAAAATATGCACACAATAACCTGATCATTCACTAATCGCATAGTGTTTTCCGCATCTTTTTCCTTAGTCTATTTCTCCAATTTTCGGGTCAATGCGTACCTTGTTCTGTTCTCTGAGTCTGGGAATGACTAGGGTGAACACGGCCTAAGTCCTCGATAGAAATGATTCCCTTTCATTCATGCGAGCCTCAAATATTGCGGACCACCGACGTTGTTAACTCGTTGAGTTTTGTTAGGGTTGCTGTTGTGGCTTTTGTGCGAATTTCTGTGTACGTGTGTGTATTGGAATTACAAATGGTGCTGTATTAGCATTCAGACTGTGCCAGTACTTGGATAGTGAGGTGGTGTTACCAGCAGACTAGTTGGGTTTGCGGTGTGTGCAGAGTTTTGCTTTTTTGTCGGGCTTCAGCTCGCATGTCTACAGCTAACCAAATGTAGAGGCAACGAAAAGGATCGCGATATTTTAAGGCGGCGTGCGCGGAAAGACGAACACGAGAGTCACGTTTGAAGTGATGTCGTTCAGACGTGAGATGGTGGCACGTATGGTGGCTCGTAGTCGTGAGTCGGAAGCTGCTAGGCGAGGCCTTGTTGGAAATGTCGCAAACCATATGGGCATCAGTACTGGAGCAGTATACGCTGGTGGTGCTTTGATTCTAGCAGTTGTGATCGGCTACTACGCTTATAGACGATGATGTCTCGTTATTCTCTCTGATATTGAGCCTTATGACCAAAATTTCTATTAGGGCGAGACACCTAAGTGTTGTTCTTGTTGTAAAACCCACTTGTAAATTCACAACCATTGACGGGTAGCTGAATGTTTTGCGAAAGAAGTCCAATGAAATCATTGTAGTATTGTTTTACAACAAGACGTGCTCACGTGTTCCACCATCCTATTTGTTAGTCGTGATTTCTATCTCTAAATAGTGGCTTTTTCTTGCCTTCTTCATTTAGTGTTGAATATTCGTCCACCATTCCTGTCTCGTTGAATGAGTACCTTTTTTGTCCAAAATACAAAATAATAACTCCATTGGGAGAATATTTATTGCTCAATTTTTCTGCGATTTGTGTCCATTCTGCTGGATAATAATTTTAAGTGAGATGACCTATGCATATGGCCTTATATCTTGATTTGTGATCATTCAGCAAATTTTCTGGTCGTAAACAATTTGCTGTTCTGCAGACAGTATTTTTTAATAAAATTTTCAATTACATGAAAATTAGATGAATAAATGTTCGCTCATTAGTAGTTGTGTTAGCAATTTTTATGTTTTATCAATTTTATACTTGCTCGTTTCGAGCGGTTTGCGCATCGTATTGTGAACAAGTTCTGGAAGTGAGTGTACCGTTTTCCCTAACTGCTGGATATTAACAGTAATGTTCGGCTCAAGCTCCTCTTTTGGAGCGAAACCGTCAATTTTTGGTAGCACAACGGCAACCACCGCAACCACTAACCCTAATGCAGAAGATATTGCTGTAAGTGATCTCATCTTCATTTACATCCAACAGTTTAATAGTTCTATGTTAAGGTCGAAGGGTCGCCGGATGACACAGTGCAAGTGCTTCGGTTTAGCCCGAATCCGAACGAAAAACCATTGCTAGCGGCAGGAAGTTGGGATGGTGTTGGTTTTAGATGGCTTATAGTCCGCCTTTTGTGTTTGAAAAGTTATTTTACGTCAGGTTGTTCGGGTATGGATGGTGAATGATAATGGACAGTGTGAGGGAAAAGCACAACAAAATATCCCTGCTCCTGTTCTTGATCTCTCCTGGACAGATGTGAGCATCTTTGGTTTTTAGTATTTTTCATAGATTTTCTATAGTATGCTACTTTTTCTCACCATCTTATGAAGGTATCATTCGTAATAATCGTCACTAATTGCTAATCATCCTCTGTAGATTAGGATTCGAAAGCCTTTAGCTAGCGTCAACATTGTTGTCGGTGTTCGAAAATCCTTATTAGTGGTGTGTGTCACGCTTCAGGATGGAACCGGGAAAAAATAGGTTTTTTTTTCAGTGAGTGCGATGCTTGCGATTAAGATGGTGCGGTTGATGGACCCGTCTTAGGAGCATCGGTTGCCGTAGTCGAACACATGACCGTTCAGTGGGAAAGTATTGCCATTTGCGATAAAAGGTCGGCTATATTTTCCGTTATTTTGGACAAGAGTTTTGGTAAATTCTCTGTCGATCATTGATCATCCCAGGTTACCCATATTCCCGTGTATTGTTACTTCAATTTGGGGCGATATCTGTGTGAGTACGTCAAAATTTTAGTTACACAACGTGACCGAGTCTTACTGGAGAGGTTGCGCTCTTCTAGTATCGGACTTTACATATGAAGGTTGCACATGCGTTTTCAAAAGGGCCTAACCGCTGCTTATGGTTGATTAGAAATGTTATATCTTGTTTTCAGGGAATAACTACTCTTGGTTTAATGACTGGATCATGGGACAAAACGTTACGGTTTTGGGATATGAGGCAATTACCAACTCAGTCTTCGTTAGCGAATATAACGGTACGCTTATCTTTTCACACGGCTGTTTCCTTTTGTAGTTTTGCTTCTTTTTTTTTTCTTCCCAAAAAAGTCGACGATATTTACATCAGGAGCATCTGTTTTTTTTTCGTTGTTTTTCGTATTTTGGCTAGTTTTCTGCAGATTGCTTTTTCTTTCATTCACTTCCGAGCGTCTTCTATAAGTGCGAACTGTGTGCTACCTAAATCTTTAGACGATTCCCGCTTTCACAAAGATTCCATTTTTTATAGCAAAGATCATGGTGTGAAGGCATAGAAACCTTCACACTCGTTTTTCGTTGTGTCATGATCCTACTTTGCCCTCTTTTCAGCTTCCAGAACGGGTGTATTGTGCTGATGTATTGTACCCAATGGCCGCAGTGGGTTTAGCAAACCGCCATATAAAGGTGTATAATCTGGAAAATGGGCCTCAAGAAGTGAAAAATATTGAAAGCCAGTTGAAGTTCCAGGTTTGTTAAGTTTTTTTTTCGACATTTTTTTTCATTTTCAGTGTTTTTAATGCTTTAAATGATTAGCCAATAGCTCGCATCCCGCTGGGAGCGTTCTAGTCCTTTCACGAAAACTGACTTCCACTGCCCGTAATCTAGTTTGCGCCACGAATTTCGTCGCATGCACACTTGATCCTCGTGAGAAAGGAAGTGTCCCATAAACACGGAGCAATTGTGAGGAGATATTATTCAAAGAACTAGACGTGAATTGTTTGTTTTCAGCATCGATGTGTGTCGATTTTCAAAGACAAAACAAATTCCATGCCTTGTGGTTTCGCGGTTGGATCTATAGAAGGTTAGTTCTAATGAGGAATAAGCAGGGATTGAAAGGTGTTGTGACAAACCGTTAAGTGTTATCTACTGTTCATCACAGTGGCTTTGAAGATGATGAGAAAAGTAATGGGACAGGAGAGCAAGGTTGGAAATTGTGCAGCGCTTTACCCATTTTCAATTTTTTGACCAGTTTCGACCATTTGTGCATTCACCACCTATGTCAATCTGAACAACGCTCTAGTAGTTTTCAATGCCTCTTGTTAAAACTCGGGCACTTGCGGATTCGATATAGCGAGCGACCTCGTCTTCGAAGTGAAAGTGTGGATTTTGTTACAATGATGATGGTTTAATACTCGGAGTGAGTGATATTTATCCGGTACTTGACGTGTACCATACGCTGGGTAGGATCGGAGTTCTCAGCTCAGCTTCAGAACTCTGCGTCGGCTCCACTTCGTGACATGTGGACGCGCAATTTCATGAAGTAGATAAACTTTGTTGCGTGCCGTGACTTGAAGAAAAGGTTGACTAATGTTGAAGTTTTTCGGATTCATCGATAATGACTTTGTGGCACTGTTGCCTACCCGCTGGATGGAAGCAGCATGAGTGTCTTACCATACGTTACCACTTTTACCCAATACTCTTAAAAAAGGGAATTTGAGGAAAGAATGTTGCAATATTTTTTCTCTCACTTAATAGTTCATTGATCATCCCGATGGAGTTTTTACCGAATTAGTGTTTCATTGCGCGCGCATACTCCTTGTCTTTTATACATTTTCAAAGCATTTTCACCTTCAATTGAAGGTCTTACAGTATCCAGCTTGCAGAAGGGTCTGCCAAAATCTGGGAGAATTTCGAACATGGTAAATAGGGATTATCCTAGCTTATCTTGGTTCTCGTCTTTGTGGGAAACCCTGTTCCTTCGCCAAGCAGCTTATAATTCCAAGAATTGCTCAATGTGCGGCGTAAAACAGTTGAATCTTCTTTACTTTCCGCGGCCATCGCATGCTATTCCTTTATGTGCTATTCACCACTTCTTAGGTTAGTTTGCTTCTTCAATTGTGCAGTTGCCCATAAATCAGCATCCTTACGGTTGCATCAAGCAGTTCTGTCATCTTAGGCTTATTATAGTCTAAGTATGGTTCACAACTTTGACTTCTTTCTTTTTTGTTCATATCAGAGAATTGTTTTTTTTTCATTTAGTCTTGCTTGTTGCTACTAAAAAGTGGTTCTAAGGCCTTCGTTGGTACCACCTTTAAAAATGTTTCTATTATTCTAGGAGCATCATTTAGCATTGTAAAGCGCTTATCATGTTTTTTCTCGGCTAGTCTTCGATTGAAAATCGTCGATGATGCTGGCTACGGAGAACCTCCAATTAAGCGAAATCGGTGAAACTCCAGTTCGGGGGGGGCACTCCATTGCTATCTTATCCGTAGTACTAGAGAGCAGTTCTTTGGGCTATCGAACACTACGGATAAGATAATAAGTGAACGACTCATTTCGAGCGTACTTTTGATAAGGACCGGTGGATGTCCTACATTCCACACTACCTGCCCACATCCCATCCACTTTTCTGCACAGGTGATCCACCCTGGAGCTCCTGCACCCTTAGCCCTTTGCGGAGGTGTCCTTTCTCCTGGTCCAGGACCGTTCCCTTGGGTCATGGCAGGCGGAAATGTGAAAACGTTTCAGGGTTTCTCACCCATTACACCAATATTTATCAGAAGTCTACTTTAAATGAGTCGATTACGTGTCGTGAGCCCTCTAATCCTTATCTTGAGTATTGGAGAAAAAATGGAGTGCCCCCCCCCGAACTGGAGTTTCACCCGTACAGTCATTTCCTAGGAATGTGCGGTACATGGTCTTTCTCGTCTGAAGATTCGGCCCAATTAATCACCAGCTCTGCAATCAGATAAACCCCATAGCAAGTCAACGGCTTGGTAGACCCTTGCAAACTTTGCAGGCTCGATCAGGGGGGGGGGCGCGACACACTACCGGAAACTGTAAAGATGAAAAATGAAAACTTCTGAGCTGAGTGGTGCCGTTTACCGCACCCTCCACTCACGTACAAATCATGAGAGAAAACTATCTGTGGAAGCATACTCTCAATGCAATGGTTCCATTTCGCTCACTCCTTTCCTAATAGACAGTAATTTTGGTTTCCATAGGCATTTTTCCAGGAATCAAAATCATAGGTTTTTTTCAGTACTCTTCTTTGAAAGAGTCGAAAAAACATGGAAATTTTAGTTTCCATATTCTTCATTGTTGAAAACAAGTTGCAATCGACAATCATTGGGGCCTTGCTGGCAATGATCCTAACTATTACACTGAATTTCTCAAATTTTTTATGTAAACACTTTGACAGTTCGAAGAGCTGCGATGCTGCTCTGAGCACTGTGTGAACAGAAGCAAAGCGGCAGTCAAGCTCCAAGGATTTTGGCCGAATTGATCGAAATATGCTTTCGCGCTTTCAGCGAGTTCTCTAACTCCTATAAATTTTCCAATGAGGTTCATTCCTGATTTTCTTTCCTTTCTTATAAGCAAGTGTACAAAAAATCGTAGTAGAAGTTCCTATTTGTTTTTTTTCTGCCGTGCGAGGTTAATACATAGAACATTTATTAATCGGCCTAAGGTTTCGACAAAATCGTCGTCTTCTGAGGCCCAGTATTCCACCGTTTATGCGGAAATCCCCCTTCCACACAAAAGCGTCAGTCAGTAAGAAAGAGTATTACTTCTATTTGGTAGAATTAGATATAGACCACAAGTAGGGCAAGGTGAACGTTTTTGCTGAAAGAACTGCTCCAAAACATGAACACATTGAATGTTGCTACAAACATTTCATCACATCTAAGTATAGCGTAGTTACAGCTCGAAATCCACGGGTTTTAGGTCTGGCGTAACGCTGTAAATTCGCTCTGGCCCCACGCGACGAAAAGTCCCAAAACACGCGCCATTTCCAATGTTCAACGTTTCTCATGTATGAATTTTTTACGTCATCAGTTCTTGTCAGGCCTTTCAGCGAAGAGGCTCACTACCACCTCAATAAAAGGAGCGTTGTCCTTGCTTTCTTTTTTCGTTAGCTCTGGTCCCTCCCCCAGTGTCTTCTTCCGCTAAGCACCGTCTTGACTAATATTCAAATTTATATGATTGACTGAATATCACGGTTGGGAAAATTTGCAGAAAGAATCTTAGTGGAAGTTTAATGATTTTGCCATTTCCCATGAAGTTCTGTGGAATGTGAAATACGCAACCGTTTTTTTTTCATGTTGAGTAGTCAAAATATTTTTGTGAGGAATGAAAATTTGAAACGGGGGCACATCCTATTTATTGTCCCTCGTCTCGAGCTTCCGACGATCTGAAGAGTCATGTTACTGCTGTGGCGTCTCCAATTTCAGGAAAAATTGCGATTAGTGCGAATATACGTAGGCGCGGCAATTTGTCCTCAGATCAGAAACCTTTGTTGAAAACACAAGTGGTCTGTGATGTTTATGAGCATCGCCTTTAGATTTGAGATTGTGAGCGTACTCTTTTCAGTGGAGAAGGTAGTCAAACATAGGGTTTTTAGTAATTATGTGTCTCAGAAGGTACTTTTGATTTTTTTCCAACCTACTTCATGAGTCCGTACGTCAGAGGAGTGGCTGTTTGAAGAAACTTTCCCTGAAAGCAATGCTTTACACTGAGGAGATGTTGACATGTGTTGAATGAATGATGTAGTGAGCAAAAAGTATGATACCATCGAAATTAATCCATTCTCTCCTGGGATGCGCCACGCATTCTACTTACATTCAAAATAGTCTTGACATTGGCCTGGATAATACCTTATGTTGTGACTTGGGAGAGATCAAGCGATGTAATGATCAGTGTTTTTAGCCCCCCCTCATCGTACAAATCTGGTACTAATTATCCGTTCCCAAGCGATGGAAGACTGGTTGGCCTGTTGGCTTAGATGGCGTGCGATTCAGAACTTTATTCCCGAACCGTGCGCGTGCCAGTCGGCGCCTTTTTCCGCTACCACTTTCGCCCTGCGGCAGGTGGTGGATGTAGTGCTATTACCAATTCCATAGAAGGTTTACTCCAATCCAACGAGCTCTCTAATCTTGTGATTCTCACCAGGTTACATGAAGGAAGAATAGGAACGTCACTAATTCTTTAGAGTCAATTCTTATCAGAATATCTCTCGTTTTTTCCTCGAAATGAGAGCGCATGCGTGTCGGGCATTCTTGATGGATTAATCTTCGGGTCGTGTCTTTTTTTTCAATCAATTTCTCTCATTTTTTCCTAACCGACTGTAGAGATGGGAAGAGTTTTAAATGGGAATCGCTCATAAGATTGTACGTTTTTTTTGAGTAGGTAAAACTCAACTGCTTCTCGAAAATGTGCTCTAGGTAAGGGTGCACTGTCAGCACGCGCATGTGGAGGCAACTTCGGCTGTTAGTATTTGAGGTCCAAACGTGTAGGGTATAGCACGCATAATAGGTGCAGTTAGCACTGACAAAGACAAAGCGGAGGCTCTTATCGGGGCATGTCGTTATCCTCTGGAGAATACGAACTAACTTGCTCAATATAGCGGGTTTTATTTCGGCGGCCTCTCGGATTGGCTTTGATCTTTGTAAGTATCATGTAGCTTCGGCCAGTGTATTCACAAGACGCCTGGAAATGTAGATCCATAGTGGATAATTCAGTCGCGGCAATACCAGTTTTTCCGTAATTCCTACCTAAGAAGTGGGTACTCTGGTGAGGGGTAAAAAATGGAGAGTGATAGCGTTCGCAGAGATGAACGCGTTGATAACTACGGCCAAACACTGTGCCAGGGACCCGAATTTTCACGATTCGTGAGCCGATGGCATGGGTGCTGGGCGATGTGCTCTTGTCTCAGTCACTTAACTGGACCCTTCTTTGGGCATAGTTTATTCAGGTCTTTAGGGTCCCTACCTTCCTCACGATTATGGGGCGGCCGCGGGCGAGGCGCGCCGAAGGTTGACTGTGCCCGGCCAAACTGGGGCTGATGAAGTGTTTTCACTTACCGCACAGTTCACGGGCACTATCAACTCGTCCGCACTCGCCGCGGCTGTGCCCCAAATCGTGGAGAAAGTGGGGAGCCTTTCATTTGCAATCATGTGAAAATTCATGATCGACCAGTGAGCACCTTCTATTTGCATTACAAAAGGTTCCAGTAGCCTCGACTATAGATTCTAAGCTCCAATCAAACGGAAAAGGAACTGTCCACAAATCACATGCCATATTCTACAATTAAAGCATGTTCTGACTGAACGTGTTTTTTTAACGTTTTAACGCTACCTGTGTTTAGGACTAAGACGAGAAGGGAACAATCGGGCGCAAGTCAGCGGTTAGGGCAATGTGCATTGTATCACATTCGTTACTAATGGAAAGTAAAGCGCCGACCTGTTCTTTGACATGCTAAAAAAATTTAGTCTTCACGACATGAAGAGAAACGAAGAACTTGGATCGTGCGATAGGGAGGCAGGAGAGCGCTAACAAGTAGAGCCCATAGCAAGTGTCCACAGCGGTGCATTTTTCTTTTTTCCTCCTCCCCATTGAGGGTCACTTAAGGTTTGGGACACTACTCCTTGCAGCAGCCTGGGCGTAATAAAGGCTAGAGCATAAGCCGAAGTCGTAAGCGGAAATGCTGTGAACTAAAGCTCAAGATGATCGGCTCTGCGGCTGGGTGACCTGATTAGAGAGCGGGCAGAAACGGTAAGCGTCCCGTCCAGAAACGACATTTCGCTTCTCGATTCTCTAGATGCGATGCTGCTCACGTTCCGTTGAGTTCGAATACCCGAACACGGCTGACTCGCTTACTCAGAGGACGGCCGGCACAGACCGTAGGAGCGCCGGTTGGTCTGATCACTGCAGAGAGAATCTCAATCAGTCCGAAGGATGAACTTAGCGAATTGTACCTGCATGCGCTATTACAACTACGCGACCCATCCAATCGCGGTATTACTCAACAAGTTATTATAAGTTACTTGAATGATTCAGTAAATTTGAATTAGGCGTAATTCAGTAAAATTGGATCTAACATGCGAAATTACCAACATTTTTTTCCGAAATTCTCGGAGCTGGTTATGCAGAAGATGGCGGCTTTTAGTGTGAAGGTATTGAATAGCTCACTGTGCTGACAGAAATCTTTTTTTTTCAATGTCAAAGGCACTGCTTGAAATGGTGAACTGTTGTTGGCTGTTGTACGACTGAATTGTCCACCCACATCAGTTTCTGTATGAGTGGAATATCTTTTGGCACTTCACTAGCTTTCATTCAGTATCTGGCGCATTACCTCCTGAGGCGGTTTCATGAAGTTTTTTTTTTGCATTTCAAGTTTACTACTGTAGAATCGCCTCAGTATTTTGTTTTTTAAGCCAGTGCCGGTCAGCAGCTGTCCTCGTACAGCTTATTAGTGATTCAGTGGGATCAGATTTCAGCTATATTTTTTCACACTTTTATTATGAAAATAGCTTCTCACAATCCTGTCCTCTTGGCTTCTGGTGTTAATATTAGATGACAATTGACGAACGCTGGACGTTGTGGTCTGCATTTCAGTCGCACTGGGCTTATTTTGCATGGTTTTTCTTTCATTTTCAAGTTCGAAACCTGTCCAAATGCTTTATCGGATGCGGATAATAGTATACAATTGAATAATCTCAGTATATGAAATTCTATAGTGAAGTAATTACAATTGAGTAAAAGAATGCGATGCTGCTCCCACGGACGGTCGTCTAAAATATGTAAGATGAAAGATTGCAGCACATGTAACCTCCCCTTTCAAAAGCGAGATAGTGTGCGATTACAGACTAATACCACAATGAACGAGTTAATTTTGGTTGGATTTGTTCAGTTGATAACTCATTTGTGCGTAACTGATTGGTTGTAATCAGTGGGCAATCGATAAACAACTGCAACAGGTAGTCTCATTTCATTGACAGAAAACGTATACGTTTTATGAGACCAGTTTAGCTCCGCACGCAACCGCGCGCATCACATTGAGGGCTTCAGTGAAACTGGACAACTTGTAGAATATTAGGTCACGTGGCTGAGAAACTAATGTAAGATATTTGGAAGGTGTTTCCCATGAAGTTCAAAGGTTGTCCAATTTCGCTGGAGGTTGTCGCGTAATGCGCGCAGTAGCCTGCGGAATGAAAATAGTACTTATCATGAATTCGTAAACATCCAGCATTAGATATCGAGCTCGGATGATTTAGCGGTCTATTGAATTTCCACAACTGAAGAATCTTTATTTAAGTGAAATATAATCAATCACTGAAGAATTTTTACTTAAGTGAAATATAATCAATCAATCAGGATCCAATCGAGCTATGATGGAAATTGCAATATAATGGAAATTCGCTGTTAGTCCAAGTGCAGATAGTTGAGCAGCCCAACTTTCTTAGCTTCTTAGCTTCTTTGGATGAAAAGATAGGAATGGGACATATTCACGTGCTAGGGACCTGGTTTAGTTCAGCTGAGTGCACGCTCAATTTTCGCTACTTTTATCAGTACAGTTGCCGCTCATACCACTTTCTGTCGCCTAATTTCAACCTCGCCACCTTAATCGCTTGCCAGTGATAATTATAACAAAGTTGGAGAGACCTGCATTCAGACGCTCATATCATTCCTGGTCATTTGTTATCAGTTCATACTGCTCGCAATCGGTGTCCCCATCCCACCCTCCAGGCAACGTGCAGGAGCTCGTGATTTATTGTCAACACGAAGGCTACAACGAAATTAGCGGTACTCAAAATCCTAACTTCTTATCAACCGTTATCGCTTGTTATCACTTCTGATCATCCACTATCCGTGTTCCCGTCCCATCCCCTATACCACATGTGAGAGCCAAGGCTCCAATGTAACTGCGAGGGCCGCAACGAAACTGGTGGTATCCACACTTTGACGCCCCTTATCAGTTCTTATCAGTTGCTACCACATTCGTTCACTCAACTTCTTGGTCCCCGCCTCACCCCACATATCATGCATGAGTGCAAACTGTCCACCGTCAACGCAAACGGCGTAACGAAATTGATGACATCATCATTTCGGCGTCCGTTATCAGTTCCTATCAGTAGTTATCACTTCCCGCCACCCATCATCAGTGTTTCCAGCCCCCCATATATCCTAGAAGTTTGAGCGCTCTGGGTCCAAAAGGGGAGGGAAGTTATGAATTTCCGGTCAGACACACACACAACCGCTTAGCCGATTATATATTTATAGTAAGGATCGTCATTTGTGGTGCATGGTCTGCATCCGACACTTCCTCGCTTTTTGAAGGGAGGGGTAGAATCAATTGCAAGAAAATTGAAAGATTCATTTTGATGCTAATTCCGGGTACTGAACCCAAAGTAGTGGTGGGAAGGCGCCGGAAATCATTCGGTTGTTCTTGGTTCTAGATCGAGTGGATTGGTTAGTTCTGGTTTTGAGATGGAATATAAGCAGAGAAAACTTCATGAAACAATTTCAAAAAAATTGGGAAAAGATCACAGAAAAACATATTAGCATCTCTTGTCTAAGGCGCATTGATTCGTTCCCACTATCTCAACACCCCCCCCCTCCTTCCTTTCTCAATATGTGCTCTCACTTGTTCCCTCTATTAGCCATTTTTCAGCTCTGAAACTTGGACCCCTGTTCTCATAGAATTGCTAATGTTTTCGGCTATTTGATATCGTATAGCGGAGAAGTGTGTTTGCCAGTGTAAGTGAACTCGACATGGGGCGTTTGTTGAATTTTTCATGGGAACGGGAAGTGAAACAATGAAGCATCGGGAGGTCCCAGTGTTCTGTTTCACGTGAGCAAATCATCTGAATGGCTTTACTCCCGACTACAACTCCCAGGGGTATACGCATCGCCCCATGGTCGATAAACGTTTCGTGGATAGACCGATATGGAACATTTTGTTTATTCCATTGCAGCTTAGCAGGGTCAACCCTGTTGCCGAATATGCGGGAACCGGATGTTATATGGAACTATGGGGCTAGATGACCATAGTTCCGCAATTTGATAGGTCTTGAAAAATCATTTTTCTTTAAGCCACCGAAACCTTCTCAGAAAACTTGGCTACCGTGCTGCAAATTTAGATTAATTATCGCTTTTTAGTGAAACTTCTTTTGCAGTCGATCTTAGGCGCGTATGGCGGAAGTAAGGCCATTATGTAAATACCAGCGATTATCAGTTGCTATCGCTTCCAATCATGTACCACCAATGTCCCGGGACCGCCCCACATAACACTTGTAAGTATAGACGCTCTTTTACCAATATGAACGGCAAAACGAAATTGGCGATGCTCGCTTTCTAGCCCCTCTTATCAGCTATTATCAGTCGTTATCAGTTCCTATCACGTACCACTTGTGTCCCCATCCCACCCCCTATAACATATGTAAGAACCACTGCGCTATCGTTACTGTGACTCGAGCTATGAATTTCCGGTCAAACATACACACACACACACCAACAGACACACGCTAGCCGCTTATATATAGTAGGAATATGGCGCTCCATCAGCAAAGTTAGCTGAAAAGGTTGCAAAATCCCATGGCGAGTTGTGAATTTGTGGAGTAATAGCTGTTTCAGAGCCTTTTAATAGTCAAACGTTTTCACAGTTTCCCAGTTGTTACTGATGGGAAGATCCCCGCATCTGTGGGACTTTGTGCGAAATCTTTCTCAAGAGTGGCGCAATGAAACAATTTTCGGAATAGTTCAGGCTTGTGTTGAAACAATCGTCCTTTTAAGCCCGAAATATTTGTTTTCAGGCCGTGTTGGGATTCATTATGTGGAGACGTCAAATCCCAAGGATAACTTCACTTCAAATGTCATCGTTCGGCAGAAGTCGTCAATGGGTTCCAGGAGATTTTCGGGGTAAATTTCTTTCGAAGACGCATTAGTTCTTGAATTTTTCAAAATACTACGTGTTCACGACCCAAACCACATTCATTGATAAGGAACTGATAGTGCGAACATTGGGAAAAAACAGTTCAGTCATGTTTGAACATAGTGTTTATAGAGGATTTATTATATAGAGAAGAAATTGGATCCTATTCAAAGATTCAAAAGGCAAGTTCAACTCGAACTAGAGGGAAAGAAAGGTTGCGTTATCTACAGGTGATTATGAATTTCTCTCCCGCCTCACTGGAATACATACAGGGCGGGGCGCATGTTCTTCTCATTCATGAAAGCTCACTTTATTTCGAATTCAAGTCAAGTTGAAATATTTTAAGCTCCCAGAAAAAGTATGCTCCCTCAGATGAGAGCACAAATGTATGGGCGCTGAAAAATGGTGTTCAAGAACGAAATTCGATGTATATTTAACAATTTTCATGCATAAAGTCAATTGGGGAAGGCTTCCACAGTGACGTAAGTGCTCCCAAAATCATAGGGTTGCAGATAGTTTTTCTCCGGAGAGAGGGAGGCCAAAAGTTTCTTTAAATTATCTTTCTTTTGGGAGCCACTACTACCTTGGCTATGTTTTGACTTTGACGTATACATTGATTAGGCCCTGTTGAAGGCAGTTTGCTTGGTAAGACGGAAAATTTGAAGGGTGTTCCGACTTCTTCCCCAGGGGCGACGGCTGGCATACGATGACTGTTTTTTTTCTGCAAAAAAGGACGAACAATCGTGCGCGTTTCTCTGAAATGACCAGTTTTTTTTTGAGTTTCGTTAGGAGAAAAAAGCCGAATTTCATTTATCGATGTGCTTGCTCATGTCGTTGGGAAGGACGTTCAGAAGTGAGAGCCAGTCATATTACCTGGGACTGAGCTAATAGGGAGGGATTCTGAGAGGGCATGTCAGCAATATTTATTCTTCCTGGCGATTCTACCCCTCTCTTAGACTTAGTACAAGCACCAGCGGTTTTTGAATTTCTTTTTTTTCCTCTCTCTCTCTTTTTTCTACCCCCCCCCCCCTCCCCAGGACATGAGCCCCTGCGTCAGTTTTTTTTTATTTTGTCTACATACACTGATCAGTTATAAGGATCTTTCTTGGACCTTCTTTATGTTTACGGTACTCATCCTTATCCCGTCAAGCCACATAAAATTTATGCTCAACAGTAAATGTTGCAAATGGTTTAATCCCGCTCTATAAGCTCCACATTCTCGCTTTCATTTTTACGGAATTCGTCCAACGTTAGCGATTCTCCTGTCCCACTTCCAGGTGTGTTACAGATTCAGAGAGTTGAGGTCAAGTGCGATATGTGAGGGAATCAAGCATTTCTGCTGCGTTTCGATTGAGCTCGCGTTTGCATTGCTGCATGTTGTCTCCTCATCTCTTTTACTTTGCCGAGCGTCGTTCCCCAATCTATTCATGCGACTCAATACGCTCATCAGAACTTGCGTCCGGACCCACCCAGCCAGTCAAGCGAAGAACATTGCAAACCATGGCGCTTTCGCAATGAAAATTGCTGTGGATACGAAGGCTAAGAATTATCAGGAAACATATATCCAGCAACCTGAGAAGGCTCCTTTACTGATAGTTGATCATATTATTACTCTTTTGGTTTTTGATCTGCCATCCTGGACACGTTTTTTGGTAGTAGTATTATTTTGCTTCAGAGCGGACCTTAAGAGTTTTAGTGATTGCGTTAGTCTTCGCTTTTTAGGGAGGGTATACTTAATCTTGCTTTCTTAGGTACTTAGAAACCCGTTCATCAGTTGGGCGGTTGGTCTCGCTCAAGTCCATCTTGCATTCCATAGCATGCTACCAATTTTGCCTTTTTTGCCCGCCAGCGCACCTGAGGACGGCCGGATAGCCTATATTTCTTGCGCAAGTACCGTCGCAATGGTCGACCTAATGGAGAATAATTTTTGGTGTCCAAGGCTAAAATTGTGCTGAATTCCAGCTCATCAGAATTGATTCCTTCGCTGCAGCATTGTACCAAAATGCAGTTCTGTTTTAGTGCTCTTATACTTTCGCCTTCATTCGTTCTACCAACGATACGTTGTTGGCGCTGTAGTATGCTGCTGAGTGCTCTCACGTTTGTGCTCATTAGAATTTTTGGAACTGAAATATCTTCCAGCAAGCTTCAAACTATCATCTTTGCATTTTCGAAATATTAATTCTCGGTAGCAATCTCTGACGGGCTGCTGTAATTT